CTCTCTCTCTCTCTCTCTCTCTCTCTCTCTCTCTCTCTCTCTCTCTCTCTCATATTTATAAACTGTAACTCAATAAATAAGTTGTAGATATTGTATAGAGATAAAGGTTATCATGTTTTATAATAGGATCAGCAATATGTCCCGTTAGTATAAAAATTTAGATTAAGATTTTAAATTTTATGTAAAGTGATAATCTAATTATATAAATATAATAATCTTTATATAAATGATTAATTAATAGTAATTACTTAATTATTTTGCACAATTTTTAGGGTCCGGCGTTTCCCACACAAGGCATATGGAAATCACTGGGAGTTGAGTCGTACGACAGGGCAGTCATACGAGACATTATGGTAGACACGAAACCGGACCCAAAAACACCCGATCGGTGGACATTCGCCGTTAACGCACACATAGAGACCGGATCTCAGACACCATTGGATGCTATTATAGACATAACACTCGACGGCAAACCACTGGTGGCTAAACACAGCCAACGACTGACTGCCGACCCCTTGGGTGCAGTGAAAGCCGATTTCGTGATCACAATTCCGGAGGACATACCCATCACTGCGTGGTATCCCAACGGTGTGGCCGACAATACACAGCAGTTATACTCACTTCAAGTCCGGCTCTCATTCGCCGACAGTCAGGAAGTGTCGGCTCAGACCAAACGAATCGGTTTCCGGACTATACGTCTGGTGCAGAGCACGACCCCCGGCGATGGCCTCACCTTTTACTTCGAGGTCAACGGACAGCCGGTGTTCGCCAAAGGGTCCAATTGGATACCGGCTAACGTACTCCAGGAGGACCTGACCGAGGCTTACGTCCGGGATTTGTTGGTCTCCGCGCGCGCGGCCAACATGAATGTGTTGCGTGTGTGGGGCGGAGGGGTGTATGAGTCGGACGTGTTTTACGGTTTGGCCGATGAGTTGGGAATAATGATATGGCAGGACATGATGTATGCCTGCGCTCCCTATCCCGGGAATCCGGAGTTCATACTATCAGCCGATGTGGAGATTAGTCAACAAATTCAACGTTTACAACACCACCCGTCCATCGCTCTTTGGGCCGGTATGTTATGGTTTGAACTTGTTTATTTTATGATTTCATTTACGCCACCTCCCCCCTCCCCCTCTTATGGAGAAGTTGCACTCTACTTAATACAATAAACATATTCATCACCGTTTAAATTTACACAAATGTGTAAACCGTATAGGAATTATACATTATAAATGGAGGGTCGTATATTAAATAAAACACTCTTGAACATATTAATAATTATCAACATAGAATTTTTATTTCATTAAAATACATATCACCTAGGTAACAACGAGATTGAATGGCTCATGACTGGCCAGGATGAGATACATCGGGTGGACTACAGGGAGTTGTTTGTAAAACACATGCAAACACTGGTGACCGGCGCCGACACCAGTCGGCCATTCGTGACCTCCAGTCCATCAAACGGGTTGAGGGATGCGATAGAGAACTATACGGTTAAAAATCCCATTGACTTTCGGTATGGAGACGTCCATTACTATGACTACTCGACCCCGCAGTGGGACTCAAGTGTATACCCGAGGGGTAAGTTTATCTCTGAGTTCGGCCAACTGTCCTACCCTTCACTGGACACCTGGTTGTCAGCGTTGCCCGACTCTGACATGACATACCCGGCCAGCGCTGGTGTACAGCATAGGAACCGTTTGGGTTATCCACCTGGTGTCAATGGCAGCAAAGTGATCGAGCAACTTATTGGTAAATTTATATTAAAACTATTTAAATAAAATTTATGTTAATTTAATTTCTATGACAGCAAATTACTTTAAGCTGCCGGCTCCGGTAGGTATTGAACGGTTCGCAGACTTGATATACTTGTCTCAAATACATCAGGCGATGGCTATTAGATCACAGGTAGAGCTCTACCGACGCAACCGTGAGGTCGACCCTCAGACAGGCTTTGGTGGGACAATGGGTGCCCTGTATTGTCGTGATTATCTTTATCAATAAATAACGCCACCCAATGTTGCCCTGGTTTGTGTGCTGGATCTGTATTTATAATTAAACCTATTGGACGATCTAAATATAAATGTGATGGTAGCTTATCACAAGCATAGGTCCCTTTAAAGCATGTAAGATCTTTAAGTATATTATTTATTTGAATTGAATCCATAGATATAGATTAAATAGTATATATTTACTATTATAAATTAATGATATCTCAAATTCGGCCTGTAAGTTATTAAAAATATTTTCCTATTATATAGACCTAATATAGATGTACATAAATCAGAAATAAAATTTTTTACACCTCTTATAATTTAAAAATTATATGTAACTGAATATCTCTTAATTTAAAAAAAAATATTTTTTAACTATTATAGGTTATTATATTGCATACAAGTATATATAGCCTGCAATCAGTCAAGCATCTCAAGCGTGTCGCTCCTGTATTTAATTGTCTTGTGTTTTCTCATGTGTATACAAAACCACAATAATTATTTAATGTAATGTAATATATATAATTTACACTAGTTATGGTTCATGATGCGTATACACAACTACAATAACTATTTAATATAATGTAGTGTATATAATTAACACAAAGTATGGTTCAATGATTCCGTTACTTTTATGTAACATATATTGTCTTTATTTGTATATATTTACAATAATTTTAATATTTTTTACTTATATAATTAGGTATATCTTAAATTCGGCCTGTAATTTATTAAAAATATTTTCCAATTATATAACCCTAATATAGATGAGCATAATTCATTAATAAAAATTTTTTACAGCTCCTATAGTTTAAAAGTTATATGCAATTTTTTAATTTTTTAAACTTTTTTTGACTTTTAATTGATGATATCTCAAATTAGGCCTGTAATTTATTTAAAATATTTTTCTATTATATAGCCTTAATATAGCTGAGTATAAATCAGAAATAAAATTTTTTACACCTCCTATAGTTTAAAAGTTATATGCAACTGACCACTCGATTTTTCAAAAAACTTTAATTTTTTAACTTTTTTAACTTTTAATTGATGATATCTAAAATTCGGCCTGTAATTTATTAAAAATATTTGCCTAATATATAACCCTAATATAGAAGAGTATAATTCTGTAATAAAATTTTTTACAGCTCCTATGGTTTAAGAGTTATATCAAACTGACCACTACTATATTTATGTTATAAATCTCTATATAACTACTAAATTGTCTATAATAGTAAGTTCATCGCGATTTTTTTACTCTCATTGACCTAATTAATAGTTGACAACAAACTTTACCCTAATTAACCACAAACATTACACTAATTAACCACAAATTCAATAATTGCCTCAGGCGTTGACCTACTTAATATGTATTATCAATTTAGTCACGCATGATTTCACATGGCATGTAGTCTAATGATGGTATGAATGGGGTTTTGTTTTTGTTATTAATGTGTAACGTCATTTATGTATGGGTCTTACCATATTTGTATTGATTTCAATGGGGATTTGCTTGAAAAACACTGGGCTGTCCATAAATAACGTATCGAATTTAGGGGTGGGGGCAAGAGGGGGAAGGAAGAAATGAGGGGAAAATCCCTGCCTTTGACAGTGCTTTGCGGCTATAAGGGCTCCTTACCTACTCTTAACATTTGGAAAAAATTTTATATATAACTTATGATTTATAACGTGATGTCATTATTGGCACTGAAATGCGCTGACTATGGCTTTTATATATACAATATATTCTTTCATCTCATAATTTCTAGCATTTTATTTGTATTGTTTTTTATGTTTCGATACGTTTTCCAGTTCTCAATGTTTTCTCGCTTTTTCAGATCCAATATATTCTTTACATTAACTTTTTTAAGACACAAACACA